CAGATTAGGCATCGCCTAGAGGTCCCTTCTGCCCCTGCCCACTGGTCCTGCCCTGGAAGTAGCTGTTCTCAATGCTTAAGGATATATGTCAGGGCTCCCTGTATGTTTAACAGGCACTGTCCTCACTAGCTCTGTGGCAGACTTAGGCACGAGGCCATATTCCCTTTTTGTTTTGTGTCAGCTGCTCTGCCTGTCCTTTGGGCACCCCATCCCAAATCTGTCCTTGCCCTAGCCATAGTACAGTCTTTGTGCTGCTGTCCACCCTTATCTGTGCCAGACTTGTCTGCCCTCACTCAACACTACTGTAGAGGCCTAAACCAGCCCAGTGTCTACAAACACAGACACTCCTAGGGTCTGTCTCTTGGCATGTATGGGGAGACTGTTTTGGTTCCCATGACTGGTGATGTGTGGTTATCCCTGTGAACTGAGCCCTCCGCCTGCCCGTGGCAGGTAATACCAGGTAGGATTTGTGGACCATCGTGGGCCTGTGGCTTTATAGGCAAGAAGGTAGAAATGGTCACTCGACATGTCACAGTGGGTATGTCCCTGGCATTTGTGCTTGGAGCTCCAAGCAGCCACAGTGGTGTTCTCATGGGAAGGGATTACTGAGAGGTCAGTAATGGAGTGGAGAGAAGTCTGTGCACTACCTCAGGAGGGACTGCCTATGGCTTAGCAGGCTTGGAAACTGAGGCTGGACACTGCTAAGCATTTCCAGTGTGGGACCTTGACCTTAACATAATTCAGCCCTCCACCTCTCAGCACACGAGACTGCCTCCTGACTGCTGCCCTCTCCTCGTGTTTGTGAACCCCAAGAGTGGGGGACTCAAGGGACGAGAACTGCTCTGCAGTTTCCGGAAGCTGCTAAATCCACACCAGGTCTTTGAGCTGACCAACGGGGGCCCTCTTCCTGGGTGAGTCTGGAGTCTTCCTGCACATGGAAACAGCAACCCCTTCTCTAGCTAGTAGGAACTCCAAATGGGACTGCTGGAATCATTAAGTCCTCTATGTGGCCAGAGATGGACATCTGAAAAGGGAAGGGCTGCCCAGGGCAAGAATGAGTGTCCAGCTCCTGGCCTGAGCAGCCAGGAGGTAGTGGCAGAATGCTGTCTCCCACACAGGTTCCACCTTTTCTCCCAGGTGCCCTGTTTTCGGGTACTGGTGTGTGGTGGAGATGGCACCGTGGGCTGGGTGCTCGCTGCCCTGGAGGAGACAAGGCGCCATCTGGCCTGCCCAGAGCCACCTGTGGCCATCCTGCCCCTGGGTACAGGTGGGCTCAGTCATCAACTTGAAGGATGGGGTCTCAGGGCTGTCCCTACTGTGGGTTTTGCTAAAGGTTTATGGTGGTGTGTGGACTATGCTGTATTTCCTGTTCCCCAGGGAATGACCTTGGCCGGGTCCTCCGCTGGGGGGCAGGCTATAGTGGTGAGGACCCATTTTCCGTGCTGGTGTCTGTGGATGAGGCTGATGCTGTGCTCATGGACCGCTGGACAATCCTGCTAGATGCTCATGAGACTGACAATGCAGAGAACAGTGTGGCAGACATGGAGCCCCCCAAGGTACCCATGTAGCACCTGTTAGAATCTTACATGTGAGCCCTCCCCCCATATGCATCTTTCCTCCCAGTCACCTGAGGCAGAACAGGGGCTTGTTGACTCAAGCCTGTGGGGTTGTGGGGTTCTGCTTTCTCTGGGGGTGCTGTGGCATTTAAGCAGAGAGGACCCTAGGAAAGGGCACTGAAGACAACAGATAGAGTTAGCCATGTCTGGCACAATTCGGGACACTCAAGAGTGGCTGGCCAGCATCCTGGTTATGCCCTGTCTCCAGATTGTTCAGATGAGTAACTACTGTGGCATTGGTATCGATGCGGAGCTCAGCCTAGACTTCCACCAGGCACGTGAAGAGGAGCCTGGCAAATTCACAAGCAGGTACCAGTAAGGCAAGGCTGGGACCCAGGTCACTTACAGCAGCCAGCAGCTTTTACCTGGTAATTGGGGATGCCTACTTCCCTGTGGCAGGTTCCACAACAAGGGCGTGTATGTGCGGGTCGGGCTGCAGAAGATCAGCCACTCTAGAAGCCTACACAAGGAGATCCGGTTACAGGTGGAGCAGCAGGAAGTGGAGCTTCCCAGCATCGAGGGCCTCATCTTCATCAACATCCCCAGGTGCTGGGGCTGGGCTCTCAGAGACTCTGCAGTTTAAGCCAGGTGCTGGGTCTGTGTCTGGTCTGTACCTAACTTTGTATTTTCATCTTTTGGGGGCAGCTGGGGATCAGGGGCTGACCTGTGGGGCTCTGACAACGACTCAAGGTTTGAGAAGCCACGTATAGACGACGGGCTGTTGGAGGTGGTGGGTGTGACAGGTGTCGTGCACATGGTGAGCACTTGGCAGGCTGGTGGGTAGGCCCTGGGGTACTCCTGGGCCTTCACTAGCCAGCTCTGCTTTTCTCCTACCCAGGGCCAAGTACAAGGTGGGCTGCGCTCTGGAATCCGGATTGCTCAGGGCTCCTATTTCCGAGTCACACTCCTCAAGGCTACTCCAGTGCAGGTGGATGGTGAACCCTGGGTTCAGGCCCCAGGGCACATGATCATCTCTGCTACTGCCCCTAAAGTATGTTGACAAGGCTGAGAGCAGAGGTAAAATGGGTCGGGGCCAGGTGGGGTGCTGGTGTATAATAGCTAAAGCCAGGTGGGTCTAAGCTTTGGCTCTCTGGGACTCTGGGTCTCATAAGTCCCTGGTGAGAGCCTCAGAGGGGTAAGAACGAAGACTCTGTTCAGTGGGCTGCAGGCTGCCCACCAGGCAGCTTTACCGGGTCCTTCCTCTTTTGTGGAGCAGAGCCAAGAAGTATTCATTGGCCCTGAATTCCCAGAGCTATCACCTGTGATGTCACTCTGTCCCTCTGACCCTCCATCCTTGCCTTGGAACAGGTTCACATGCTGAGGAAGGCCAAGCAGAAGCCCAGGAAGGCTGGCGCCATCAGGGATACCAAAGTGGACACTCTGCCTGCTTCTGAAGGCAATCCTTAATAGAGGAGACAAGGTGAAGGGTCTCAACCACCCAGCCTTTATGTCTTTGGTTCTGTTCCAAGTCACACATTGGCTGGCCAACAGATGGACTTAGCTATAGCACTGACCATAGCATCTTTATGGGTATTGGGATGTGTCCATCCCTCATTCTCATCCAATGTCACGTGCAAATTTAGGAATGGGTAAAGTAATGGCCTTTGCTCACTCTGCCGTAGTACCAACCTATATGACATGGACATGAGGCTCTGGCTAACCTGTCTTCTGCACAAGACAGGTCCTTATAGGCTAAGTGGAGCTGGTCCTATTAATCACACTCCTTCCTTGGAAATCTCTTGGAACACCTTGGGCACAACACTTCTGGATGCAGGCCATCCAGGTGGGCCCTCTGATCTCATTTTGTCTTCTTTCAAAGCAGCTAACCCTGCTGGGCCCTGGCCTAGCAAAAACAGAATGCTGCCTGTTCCTCTTGCACCCACACTGGATGGGTATGGCATCCTCAAGTCCCCTGGGCTCACCACCAGATAGCAGTTTGAGCTGAAAACATTAGTTCCAAGGTTTCATCTAGCTTGTGGCCCTGAGCTGACAGAGCTATATACCTCTTTGTCTGCTCTGAAGCTAGGTAAATTTAGGTGTTACCCACGTTATCAAAGCTGGAATGTGTGCAGGCCCTGGGTGGGCACCTAGTGCCTGGAAGGGATCAGTGCAGGGCCAGGTGGGGCCCGACTGAGGTGTAGATACATCTGCTCTTGTGGAGTGGCTAGAGCTTCTGTAGACTCGACTTATAGCACTTTATATACATGCTGTTTGCCAGGCTGTAGCCCTTCCTTGTACATGTAGAACTTCTACTCTGGCTCCTACACAAATGGAGGCAGCTCTGGTGGCCAGGCCTTACTGGGGGCATCGGGTTCACAGAATGAGACAAAGCTGTCTCTTCCATGCACCGAAGAATTCACTGTCACACTTCAGAAGAATATGTCCAAAAACGAGCCGTCTAGGTAAGCCTGGTGGTGCATGCCTGCATATTTCTTGGGGGCTAAAGCAAGAAAATAGCAGGTTAAAGGCGTCACTGGGCAATAGAGCTAAGGCCCCTTGCAAACAGTGAAAACAATTAAGGTCCAACCCCAGCCCTTGATGGGGGAGGACCTAGGTGAGAGGTCTCCCATGTTCATCTCCAAAAAAGTCAACAGGTCTAGATCTTTATCATGTTTGTCATCAGTGGGCCTGTGACCACCCAGGGAACCTACCTGCCTAGCAGCTTCGTGGGACCACTGTGGAACCCCTCACCTGCTTTTGCCAAAACTGCACACAGGTGCATCCGACACCCATGTTCTCAGTGTACGTGTTCCTCATGTTTACATCATTTCAATGTCCAAAAGAAATTCTTCTTTGTGGTGTAATTTTTCACTTTTATTTCAGTCTGTAGGAATTGTTTGTAAATTACGGTCAGTGTAGCTTGTCCTCTGTATTTAAGTGAGACTGTCCTTTTGTGGAATGTGTCCTGTGCATTGGTCCTATCTCTGTGTGTAATTTATCACTACCTGAATGTGATGTAATTTATATCTGGGCCAAATACAGCGTGGGCTTTGCTGTCATGTAGCTGCCTCTTGTCTTTGTCCAACAACTGGTATGGAAATGGGCAGGACTAGCAGTCCCACCAGGAAAGCTCTGTACTTCTGAGGATGTGAGCCAGATAGCAGCTTCTCAGCCTGACTTAGCCCAGACTCAATTGCCCAAAGGTTCCAAGAAGGGAGGCCTGTGTGGCCACATGCATGTCAGAGCAAGGAGAAGGGATGGACCTCTGATCCTGGCTGTGTGCTGCTACCTTAAAGAAGACCTCAGTGACAGCCCCAAGTGGCTGGTTCAGGTAAATTCCTCTGGCACTGCTGGGGTCAGGGAGGTAGAAAGAAAAGTAAATGGATAGAAGCAATAAATTGAGTTCCCATGAAACCCCTCACTGCACAATGTAAACACCGTTCATACTCTTGAAACAGATCTTGATGTTCCACAAGTTAAACAATACCCAGGCCAATAAATCCATAGGCCCAGTGCACAACAAACTTCTACTGAGACATCTCCATAGGACCCTTTTCAGTGTGCACCTAGGATGGGCTGGTGTGGCTTTCTTGGCATTATCAGGGACCAGGCAAGAGCTGGGACTGTGCCTCAGGTTCACCCTGGCCTGGTTGAGGATGCTCTGTCCAGAAGTCCCATAGGACTTGAAGGCCTGCCAGGGCAAGGCGCACAAGGAGACGGAGAAGCAGGAAGGCAAAGGGCACTGCAATCTGCATGAGGTGAAAGATGGCTGTGCTGAACCGGCTCAGTAGGCAAGTGGCAGCAAAGGCCAGCAGGCTGGCACTGGGGTACAGAGCAAGCTTGGCAAACATGAAAGCATGCTCCTGCCCATCAAATCGCACAGCTGGCTGCAGTGTTTCTGTCTGATGCAGCAGGGCTGCAGTCCAGATGGCAAACTGGAAGATGCTGGCAAAGAAGATGATAGCACAGCTGACACGCACACGCTCAAGTTCATCACGGGGTTGCCGGGCAAATGCTGAGGTCTGCTGGTAGGCCAGAGGGAGGCCACCCACAAAGGCCAGCGACAGTATGTTGAGTAACCCCATGGTCTGTGTAGTTTTCCGGACATGTAGGAACAGTGAATGGTGGGCAAACCAGAGAAGACCCACTGTGGCGAAGGAGCCGAAGTAGGCCAGGAATTGTGGCCCATATGCACCCAGGGCAGCCACAAGGCTACCACTGAATTTCTCTTGCACATCCTTGGGGTCCGGAACGTTGTCCTCACTGGGAAGTATGAAGAGACGGCATTTGTAATAGCCTCCCAGAGAGAATCAGAGGGGTAGACCAAGCATCATAAAGTAAATTTGAGAATGATTGTGATCTCCAGCACATAAAAATGTTCCCTATGTGCTACTTACATATATTTAGCATACTAAACAGTTACTCAAAATGCAAATTTAACCAGACCTGAATATTCTTTGCCGACCGGTGGCTCTATCTGACAACCAAGAATTGACAAATAGCTCTGGTAGGTGGGCCAGAGCCAGCTCTCTGAGGGTAGGATACCTATTGGAGAGATTCCCCACAGCTATCCTGAATCTTGCAGGCAGTGTTGGAGCACAGAGTCAAGGGATGGGAAACCATCACCTGGACATGAATGACAGGACATGCAAGTACCTACTACTTTTTCCAAATCAACCAGAAGGAGGGACACAGGGTAAGGGCAAGAAAGAGAACCTAAGGGCTGTCACACTGTTGAGACTCCAGCAGAAGGTGACAGCCATCTCTTGGCTAGAATTCCTGCCCTAACTATAGACTTGGCCCTATTCAGCCCTGGCTGCAGAATGGAAGCAAAAGCAGGTTGTTCTGGAATATTCTTTAAATCTAGGGCCCCAGGAAATCAGGTACTGATGAATATTTACTTCTAGCTTATAATAATTCACAAATATAGTAGAAAAACCTATTCAGAAGTATCAGGAGAATCATAGTGTTAGATTCAGAATCTAAAACCAGAGTTGTGACATGTTTAATATGGCTGAGGAACCATAGGCTAGAGGAGGGCACAGGGCTTAAAAAAAAAGGCAAAGGAGACACTTGTGAATAAAAGTGACCGCTTAAACTAGAGTCCAACAGTACCGTGCCAGAGCAAGGCCACATGGAAGAGCCAGTCCTAACAATACAGAGGGGGATAAGGCCTAAGGGTGCTGCCTGAATATTTCTGGGATAGAAAGCACAAGGAGCCTTGGAGAAGTCACTGTCCCTGACACTTGTGCTTTCAGGCTGAGCGGAACTGGAATGAGAGACCTTTGGTGCAGAGGGAGCCTGGGGAGGCTTGTGCTGAGTAAGACCTTTCTGTAGTTTCTAAGGACAAGACTTTCTCAAAGACATACCAACACCTGGAAGATGGGCCAAAGCAGCAGAGTTGGGGTCCTCACCAGATATCCAGGATGAGGAGTGTGGCCACGATGGCATAGACGCCGTCACTGAAAGCTTCCACCCTCTCTTTGCTGAGGGGTGCATGCAGGTCAATACTGAAGGGCTCCACGTTGTGAGCGGGAGACTCTCTGTGGCCTGTGGACATGTCAGGAGAAGAAATTGACCTAGAGGGGGAACTATCAGGCCAGTGTGGCTCTAACTGGCCTCTTATCCATGGGGCCAGGAATATACAGGACAGGAGGGGAAATGTGCAGAGATACTTAAGGGGCAGGAAGCCAAGGGCCCAGCAACCCACTGCCAGATCTGGGCTGAGCCCAGGAGGACAAGCCCTGAGCCATCACACACTGAGGTAGCCTGAAATCTGGTGTAACCTTCCAACATGCTTATGGTAGTGCTGTGCATGGTCACCTACCCATAAACTTGTCTTTGCACCAGGCGGTAGCCTTGCTGAGGTGAGGGAGGAAGATGACAGCCACCATCAGCAGGTAGGACTGCAGGAAGAAATAACACGTCAGGGTGTTTCTGTGGGGGTGGAGGCTGCTCACACCTCAAGTCTGGTCCCACTCTTCTGCCCCAGAGGGATGGACAACAGGAGTAACCAGAGAACTGTCCTTTATGGAAGTGAACTGTGTGTAAGGGCACAATCCCAAAAGGAAGGACTACCAGAGGGGAGATACCAGTCATGTACTTTCTAAGAGTTTGGTATAACACATAATGAATAGCAACAGCTCAATAGCAAAAGGAAAGCATTCCAACCAAGAAATTAATGGCAATGAACTTGTGTGTGAGCTTCACCTGTGTGTGAGCACCCAGTTGAGGTCTGCTTGGCTAGATGCTTCTATACAGTGCTCTGCTCTGTTCCAGTTTATAGTCTCTGAGTCCCCTGGGTCCCACCTACTCAGCTGGTACCTTATCTGCTCACAAGAAGCAGATAACCTGCCAGGACTTTCAGGATGGCATTTGCAGCAATCACAGGCCTTCATCTCTAACTGTTTGAAACCTGGAATGACCCTGAAATGCTTACCAAACATTTATTCATGACTTATTTAATTTTAGTTCAGTAATTATTTTTGTTTGTGTACATGTGTAAAGGTGCTCATGTACTACATGTGCATGTGAAGGTCAGAGGGCAACTTAAAGGAATCGGTTCTCTCCTTTTATCATGTATATTCTGGAGATGAAACTCAGGTAATTAGGTTTGACGGCAAGTACCTTTGCCAGCTGACCATCTCAGCAGACATTGAAAATAACTAGCATTTGTTGTTTTCCATAGTTCTTAGGACGCTTTGATTTATAGTTCAATGCATTTTCATAGTACTTATGTTGATCCTGCTCAAGCCAGCTTCCACAGCCTATTCTGAAAAAATTGTTTCAGCATTGCCTGTTCTTTCTCCTATTAGCGGTACTTCATCTTTTTCAACTGGGCTAAGACTCCCTCAGATTCCCAGCACTCACCAAGGGGAAGAAAAAGAGGGAAAAGACGGCTGCAACAAAACACAGTGCTGGGCCACGGAGGACTACGTGCAGGATGTGTCTCCGGGACAGGGCCCTATATGTAGAGTGCTGGATCTGTGGATTCAACAGATGTGGAAAGTGGAAGGCATACCCCACAATCATTGCCTGTGGTAAAACAAACAAACAAAATAGGCTATAGAACATCATCAACAGGTAAGAGGTAGCACGACCCCCAGTTAACCCTTGAGCCAAGATACACATTTTTAGGGGTCAGGAGCAAGAACATCCCTTCTAGACAGCCTCCTGTGCTGGTATGTTCTGGGAGTGTGGGGTGAAGAAAGCAGTAGAAACTCTCATTCTATTGTGTGACTCTAAGGCCCTGGGTAAGGCCTGGGCCACTTGAGATACAGGTCAGGATACTGGCACTTGGCCTGCATACCCTATGGCAAAAGTACACCCATACCTTGTGTCCCTACCTGCACAGATCCAATGGCAATCACACACATGCAGAACAGGAAGATGCCCAGGGGCACATCAGGGAACGTCACCATTAGAGAAAACTGTCAAAAGAACCCCCCAAAACCCCCCAAAGGCTATCAGACCTAGGTTCTGAGATGGTGTATAATGAGCTTCCCTGTCTCTGTACTGGGCACTGAGCAGAAAACTGGTGTGGGGACAATGGTGTGGGGTTAGAGATGGGCATATTGGGCCCTCCCACAGAGCAATCCTACTCACTGCCTCAGGCCTTTAAAGCCAGTGTCATTAATCTCATGTAAATTCCCCCAGTGCATTACAGCCCTGTATACTTGGACCAATGGCCTGTCTCAGAACTCTAAATGCTTGTTGATCTGCTAGTATGGGTTATGGAGAGAGGCAGGCAGGAACAAAGGGCATCTTGTGTCCTCTGCCTCCAGCAGCCCTACGCTCCTCTCCTCTACTCAGCCTCAAGCATTAGTTCCCTTGAACTCTCTCTCTATTCTAGCCTGCAGCCCGGGGAACCGTGGCCTGCATTTCTGAGGACTGTCACACATAGGCATGCCCAGTGAGGTGTGCAGGGTGATGATCATTACTCACTGTGTAGGGCAGAAGGGTGATGATCATCATACAAGCCTGTAATGAAGGGAGAGGGGGGAAGTCAGTTACCAGAGACTCTGCTGAGAAAGAAGGGGCACTCCAGGAAGGCAGCAATACATCTATAGGAGTTGTGGGGCTAGACCCAAGAAGCCTGTGCCCTGTCCTGGACAGATGGACCCATGGGCCATCTGAGGAGCTTCCAGGAATGGACAGAATCCAGGCTGTGGGAACCTATACCTTCTCCTACCTTTCAGGAGGGCTAAATCATGACTAAGCTAATTTTTTCAAAACAACAATAACTCACCAGGTTGAGCAAGGCAAGTGTATCATCTATTTTCCCAACAACCTGGAACAATCTAAAGTTAGGAAAAAGAGAAGAGGGGTCATCATTCAAATATGGCTCCACAAGATTAAAATTAAAATGTATCTCCCACAGTATTTTCTAGCTAAAATCATTGATGATGTCACTCTTGACCAAATTTAAGATACTACCTAGCGGGACTGATGATAGGTAAAGGTGTTATCAAGCCTGAGGATTTGAGTTTGATCCCTGCACCCACATGAGGGGATGAGAGAACCAAATTCTACAAGTTATCCTCTAATTTTGGTGCACCCACATGTATACACTCACACATTGCACAAAATAAAATGCACTTTGTGAAAAAATGTAGACACTACCTAGTGTATGAAAGTCAGAAAACTCGAAGAAAACATAGCTTAAGTGGGAACACACACACCTTTCTAAACACTCTCCCTTATCTTTGAGAAACAGTCTGTAGAACCCACCTGTACAGTTACAGCTCTTATTGATAGTCTTTTCATACAAAGGCTTGAGAAAGACTTCTGTACAGAGGTAGAGGATTTTTAAGGACTAGCAGGGTGGCTGTGAGCATCATGCCCCATGAGCTTTGTCCAGCCACACTTTCTGGGAATCAGCATCTGGGAATGTGCAGCCAGAGCACTACCATGCAATACATTTGTTTTTCAGACATTATGTCTAAAATCCATTTTGAAGAAAGAAAATCTTTTCTTATTTTTTTCTAAAGATGTCTCATATTGTACCTGTTGGAAGTTATTTAACAGAGATTTTGTATAGAGATACAGTGTAAATAGAAAACAAAATGGAGCACCACCCTTCTTGGAAATATGAGCATAGGCTGCCAAGAATCCTAAAACCTCCTGTCTTGCCTGGGCCCCACAAAAGGACTGCCCCCAACACTAACAGTAACTGCCAGACCACAGCTCAGGCGCCACTCACCCAACTCCAAGCACATGGCCTTCTTTTGGACTGGACTGAGCTAAACTGTCATCCTCACTCTAGGCAACTACCTCTTGCTCATGGCAGTGACACAAGCCCATTTGCGATTAAGTCTTCATTAATAAGCCAAATAGAAGGAGCTGCAACTCTAGAGACAGCGGTTTTGCTGGCTAGTTGCTGGCATTAAGCTCATGTCTACAACTGAGCACCCAAAGCAGGATGCAGAACAGATCTATGAAGTTCCTCACAGACTCCCTAGGCCCCATAACCCACTCTTGCTGTGCTCTTGTGGGCCCCTGCTGAATGAACCATGAAGCTGGTATAGGAAAGGTTGGCTAAATTTGTAGGCCAACTAGCACCCACCAAGCTGTGAGCCTCTTGAACATTCCATAAACAAGGAAGACCAAAAAGATAAGCCTTCCCAGTTCTTAAAACATTTATTACCGCCATCTTTCTGAGAACAAGTGTGTAACATGAAACATTCTGCTGCACTTTTAAATAGCAGTGAACCGAATACATGCCTTTAATCCCACTCAGGAGACAGAGGCAGGAGGATCTCTGAGTTCAAGGTCAGTCTGGTCTATTGTATAGAGTCCTCTATCCCCCTCTCCCCCCCTCTCTCACAAACAAACACAGAGAGAGAGAGACAAAGAAAGACAAAGAGAGAGAGAGAGAGAGAGAGAGAGAGAGAGAGAGAGAAAACAATAAAATGTTTACTAGGATCTGAGTTTTCCCTGCACCCTAGCATTCTCTGAAGAGTATTTCCTTTGAATATGTTAATCTGCAGATAGGAATGTACACCTACATGCCCAACTATGTTTATGGAAGCCTCCTGTCTCCCTGCCTGCCTGACATTCAGTGATCAGGGGCTCATGCAGCTATGGAGCCCTGTGCCCTGGGGTCCTAAAAAGTTCTGTCTTCCTTAGGACAAAACTCAGACATCAGAATGTAATCTGTAGGCTCTGCTTCCATTCAGGGAAGGGTTTATGGTTGCCTTAAGACATAGCCATTAAGCTTGCATTCTTCACTGTCATGTTCTATTCTGGCCTTCCAATGGCTCTAGCAGGTAGATACTTTTCTGCTTCTCCTAACAGACAGGAAAAAGAGGAGGGTGGTGCTATGGAGCCAAGTCTTCTTTGGAGCAAGCCTGACCATGCTGTACTGTCCTGAGAATAATTGTGAGTGACAACCAGAGGCCAGGATGGGAAGAATTAGCTCCCCTGAGACACAACATGTAAACCAAGGAGCCCACAGACACCAGGAACAACACATCTCTGCAGTACTGTAGCAGTCTACATCCTTTGTCTACCTTGAGTGAATCCTGACAACAAGGACTTTGTGTTACATTTTCTGACTTTCATACACTAGGTCTGACTCCCTACCTGGTATGTGCTGTCCAGGCCACAGTTACGATTAGAAATGTCATGAGGTAAACAGCAATCCTAGTTGCTAGAAGTTTCTGTATACTTTTGTCAAACTGCTGTATAAAAAGAACACCGCTATTAGAACAAAGTAACACATGTGACCCAACAGTGGTCATTTCAATGGCAAGACTTTTGACAGTGAAGCATTTAGGAATGTCCCCAGTCTGTGTCTACTCTGAGTCTAACCTCATTTCTACTATACTTCCCAACTCCACCCTCAAAGGTGTTTTTTGAAGGCAGTTTTCCTAAAGCAATAGATTCCCTGAGTGTCACAGAATGACATCATTGCCTCAAGTGGCAAAAAGTCCTGGTTGTCAGCAGGCTTGCTGTCTGGGGAGAGTCTAATCATATCAACAGCCACAGCATAAGTAATAGAAAGGAAAAGGTACATAGTCCTTTTATAAAGTCATTAATTGCTTGCTAAAGCATTCATCTTGGGGTGCAAGTTCCAATATATGAATTTTAGAGGGACACAGACATTTAGGCTATAGTAAGATTAGACCCAGCATAGTCATGGACAAGGACACTTCTGAAAGTCCCCAATGAGAAATTATAAGCAAAATGGGTCTGCCATAGATAAACACTACACAAGGGGTTGTGGCTAGAACAGACTGAAAAGAATCCTCAATCAAGGCAGAACTCTTTCATGAGAAGAGGGGTTTATGCTTTTTAAAAATGCTCAAATGGACTGGTTTTCTGGCTTCATAGGTTCTTTTTGTGCAAGCATTCCTTTGGACTTGAATTTTCATTTCAAAATCATCCTATCAAATGTCCTCACAAATCCTTGACGTGTGTGTGTGTGTGTGTCTCTCTCCTTCCTTCCTCTCTCCAGTACCTCAGGGCATATGCCACTGAGCTATACACTCAAATTTCTTTCCATTTTTGGGGTTTTGTTTTGCTTTTGTTTTTTGAGACAGGGTCTCTCTACATAGCCCTGGCTATCCTGCAATTCACTATGTAGACCAGGCTGGTCTCGAACTCACAGAAATCCACTTACCTTGTCTCCCAATGCTGGGATTAAAGGTGTGCACTACCACACCTGGCCTCCTCTTACTTTTTATTTTGTGACAGGGTTTAAGTTACCCAGGCCTTGAACTTGGAAAGCTCTTGCTTCAACCTCCACAGCAGCTATTGTTTATAGGCAATTTGCCACCAGGCCTGGAAGTTAAGTCCTCTTTTTAAAATACCAAGCAAGCCTGACTTGGATTTCCAGAACCCAAGGTAGAAAGAGAGGACTGATTTCTGAGAGTTATCTTCCGCCCTCCACACACATGCTGTGGCATATGTGCCTACACTTTCACAACAGTCAAGTTTTACAACCTAAAAAACTATAACCTCATGCAGGCTAGGCAAACAACTCTACCATTAAGCCATATCTAGTCTCTATGCTTTTTAATTTTATTTAGGTTTTTTTTGGTGACAGGTTCTCACTATGTAGCCTTGACTAGCCTGGAGCTTACAATGAAGACCAGCCTCTAGCAGGTACTTTCCCATCAGAACAGCTCTGAGTACAGCACAAATGTAGTCTGATGCTCAGCTCTCTGAAAGTTTCATTTTCATCATAACACTAACAGCAGTGCTGTAACCACAGTTGAAAAAAACAAAAACAAAACCTTCCCAAAGATCTTCCTTGCAGCTTGCAGGTATGGCCAGAGCCAGACCTCACGGTTATGGGGCCAGCTGAGTAGAGCTTCAGCCTCCTTCAGGATGCATAGCACTCAAGAGGCTTGTATGCTGACATGCCACTCACATGAAATGAAACCAAGAACGGTACCTCAGTTCTGTCCAAGTCTCAAAGTTGTTTCACAAAAGAACTACATGTAGCTGACTCAAAAAAAAAAAAAAAATTCCATAAAGTTGGATATAAATGGAAATTCTTTCAAAAAAAACTCTTTGTTACCCATACAGGATGGCTTGGTAGAAGTCTGGGGTGGACATGCTTCCCACCCCCTCTCAGTGGAGTATATCACTACTTGTCCACCTATCTAGAAATAAAGCCTCTTTTGGCAGAATCTGTACTTGAGCCCCAAAACCACCACCACCTGCTCTGAGTACATATCTGGCCAGGAAGAAGCACAGATGTCCTGCCCTCTCAATAAATACCCTGCCTTGAGCTTTGCTGCCTGCAGATTTGGAGGTTGGCTCCTCAAGTCCAGGCCACGTTTTCTTACTGGCCCACTGTATAAGCCAAATTGTTCCTGTTACCTGTTCTGGTGAGATCTCTGTGTGAGTCACAGGCAGGATCTAAAGAAACAAAGACAAAATAACCAAGAGATACTTCTTGGGCTGAGGAGATTCAGAGGCAGAGAGTATGTGGTCTCTTGAGCACTGCTGGACCCCCCCCCCCCAGCCCCATGAAAGGCTTGGGCATTTGAGGCTGCTGCAGAAAGAATGGGTGGGTTTAAGGTGGGCCCCACACTGACCATGACAGTCGCGATGATTGACAGCAGTGCATCACTGAAGCCCAGCATGCGGTGGGAGCTCTGGGTCCCTTCCTCGTCTCTCCTTAATAGAGATGAGTCTCCCTCGTCTCTCCTCAATTGAGATGAGTCTCCCTCGGAATCCACCACCTGCTCCTGGGTCTGGGGCCTGGACATGGTGAGGCCACGGAGTTGTCACAGCAGCCTGGAGAGAAGTATAGCTCTGAGCATATCAGAGGTGGCCAACCCTGTGGACTTCAGCCATTTCACTGCAGAGACAAAGGCTAGGTATGGGGACAAAAAGCAAGACACTTCACAAGGTTACCCCTCCAGATTTCTAGCCACAGGCTATGAATGTCAGCATCAGACTCATCAGTGAGCTCTGCGATGGGACTTTACATTCACTGTCTCAGTGGGAAAGCACTGACGATACAGGTTAGATATTCAGCATATCATAATACCAAGAAAGGTCTGAAACCTGACCCCAAGTTTCCCCTCAAAGCTGCTTTGTCAGGCTTGAGTTAGCATATCTCCTGGCTAATGAGGCCAGGACTTCCTCAGCTCACAGCGTCTGGGATGATTTTAAGTTTTTCCAAAAACAATTTTGGGTAGACCAGTGAGATGCCAACAGAAACATTCTCTGAGGAAGAAAGATATTTGTGCCCCAAGAAGCAAAGGAGGAAGTATTGTCCTAAATTCCATCTGCACTGAGAACTGCTCTGCAGCTACAGGAAATGGAAGGGGGACCACTAGAGAGTGTTTTCCAACTTCCCACTTACAGCCGGGGAGAAGTGATAGGAGGTGGCAAGGATGGACAGTAGGCTGAAGCTGTGACTAGGGGTGAGGCAGAGTATATCTGCCCAGGCAGGATACAGAGTGTTCCCGGGAAGCAGGTCCTGAGACTACAAGAGGAAAGCTGGCGCTCTGGGTCGACGGCACGTCAACAATATAAATGTACCCTGCTTTAGGCATGTTTACTGAGACGGGGAAGGACAGCCTCAGGCAGCAGAGGTGAGGAAGGAGGCAGTGAAGGAGAGGACACTATGGAGTCACCAGCACAGTTAGGGAAATGAGGTTGTAAGGCTGTAAGTCAGGAGTAGAAGGCAGTGGTACTCCCTGGGATGATGGGAAGATAAAAGCCAGGATCCTTGGAGAGTGAAGCTTTAAAATGGGTGGTCACAAGCACAAGCCCTTTAGCAGTGTAACAATGTCAATATAGAGCATGACTGGGCTTACTCTGAAGAGGACGCTGCTGACCTAACACCCATATCACATAATCAGAAGCATGTGGGTAACGTGGCATGCTGCCCTAGGAATCAAGCATAGGCTTTCACCAAGGTGATATATTAAAAAAAAGAAGCCAACTAGCAATTTACAGATAGGAAAAAAAAAAAAAAAGAGTTGTAAACAAACACACACACACACATCATTCAGGCTGAATATAGCTCGGTGGGAGATAGCCTACCTTACACATCTGATTCCCTGGGTTCTATCCCCAGCACTGCAAAAGAAATAAAGAAAAGTCAACTTCACTACTAATCAAGGAAACACAACTGAAAGCAGCGACGTAGCAATTAGGATGAACAAATCCCCAGTCAAGAGCTTGCCAAGATACGGGAAGGACACTTGACATAGGGAGCAACAGGGGGCTCCTTTGAACAGGCGATTAACAACAAATCCGGAGGAGCAATGAATACCTTCACAGGGCAGCAGAATCTGAGGGGACATGACTGGATTCTGCACTGAAGCAAGGTTTGTTACAACAAAAAAGTAAAAATATGACTTATTATTAAGGATTAATGTTGTGAGGACACACGCGAATCCAGAGAGATAAAATTAAAACACAATGCTGAGAAGAAAAGAAAAACAGCAGTTACAAAAAGGTAAGTTGTCATCGTCCTTGTTTGTAACAATAAAAATACATATGACAAAAAAACAAAAAACAAAATCAGGTTTATTAGCTCCAGGTTAAACATGTGGTACCTGGATGGCAAGGGCAGGCACAGGTAGCAACATGGCTTTTGTGAAAGCCTGTATGCCAAAGTACTAGAAGCTTAGAAGGTCAGAACACAGACTCAAAACTGAAAGGTATATCCAAAGATGAGACTACATCCCAAAGACTTCTACATCATCTTAGAACCTAGAACAACTCCTGAAGACTATGCTGTAGCAAGTCCTGGAACCTTAGTACAATTGACTCCATGATGGAAATATCATTCAGACCATAAAAGTTAGCATGTAGATAGCACCACCAGCCAAAACTAAAACAAAGACCTAACCTCTCAAAGCCCATAGTACAGGAAAGTCTCTGAATATACTAATGTTGCTTTTAGGCTTCTGTAAACCTGCTTTTGGCTAACTGCTCTTATTACATGAAATATGTCAACCCAGGACACAGTTTTGTGCTTAAAAACCAACCTTGAGAAGGGATTGAGGCTACAATGGGATCCCAAACACCCAGTGTAGTCATTGGCTCCTTATTAAAGACTTTCTATTGGCTTAAAACCATGTCTGAGTAGTCCTCTCTGATGGATACCCTACAACAATGAAAAGTTAAGAAGCACATTTCTTTACATATGTTCTTCCTCCAGTCTGGCCTTTTTATTCCTTCAATAAGGTTTTGTTTTGTTTGTTTTGTTTTGTTTTTTTGCATAGGATCTCACACAGCCCACGGTGACCTTAAAATTCCAGAAGTAGCCACTCCTGATCTTCCTACTTTAGACACCTGAGTGCTGAGCTTACAGGTATGTACCACCATGCCTGGCTTTTCCCCATAGAATTTTAAAGCAAGTTTAGTACAAAACATAGGGCTCCTTTACCCGCCTTCACATTTCATCTGATTGACATCTTGCATTAAGGTGACCTATTTGTTACAATTGGCACAATACTGGCACATCATTAAAAGTCCATAGTTGACATTATAGTTTATTATGTTACACACTGAGAAATGTGTGATAACATATACCCATCTTTTTGACATTAGACAAAATATTTTCACAATCCTAAAAGTCCTCTATGCTTTACCTATTGTGTTCCACTCTCTCATGCCCTCTTCTTCCATAATCCCTAAGCAACCACTGGTCTTTTTTTTTTTTTTTGGAGGTGGGGGAGGGGGTCTTCATGTCTCCAGAATGTCATGTAACTAAAATTATAATACAGACTTTTCAACTTTCTAGCTGAAAGTCATCAGTGGCAAAGTTTAGGAATCCTGACACATAATTATATCATATAAAAATATGCATTTTAGTTATTCCTTTTCAATGTGGTTGCTTTTTATTTCTTTTTCTTGGCTCATCACATTGTTTACTATTTCCAATACAATGCTGAATAGAATGAGACCAACCTTGGCTCACTGATCTCTGGAGTAAAACATACGGTTCTATTATTATGTATGATGACAACTGTAACTTCTTCAAAGATGCCCTCAAAATGTTTCAGTTTATTCCAGTGTGCTTGTTTTCTTGAGATTTTTACAATGATGTATGTGCAATATGTATGAAAGGCCTGTAGATGCCAGCAGAGGGTATCGGATCACCTGAAGCTAGAGGTCAGACAGTTGTGAGCCATTTCTGACACTCTGGAAGGGCAGCCCACACTTAATTGGTTTTTTGTTTTTAAATCAGGAATGGATACAAGGTTTTGTTGAACACTTTTTCTTTATCCACTGAAATCACCTGTTTTATTTTCTTTGTGGGAGGGTGCCAGTTGAGACAGGATCTCTCTATGTAGCCCTAGCTGTCCTGGAACTTGCTATAGATCAGGCTAGCCTCGAACTCACAGAAACCTAACTTCTTCTGCTTCTGAAGTGCTATTATTAAAGGTGTACCTCACTATGCCAGGCTATTTTGTTTCGTTCTTCACTTTTTAGTAAGCATAAATTAATTGGTCAAAATTTTAAATACAAAGTCAACTTTTTATTCCACAGATAAACCTCAGTAGGTTTCGATAAAATTTTCGGAAATGGGCATTTTATTGGCTGAACATTTTCAGTCCCAAAATAAAAAGCCTGAAGCTCTTTGAAAACCATCGTTGGCACTTAAAAAGTTTTGAAATCTCAATTAAGGATGGTCAACTTTTACTGTTAGACTTAATTTGCTAAAACATATTTTAAAGGATTTGTTTTTAATGTATGTTCATGAAATACATTAGCTTGTTGCTTGTAATATAATGCTTTTGTCAAGTTAGGGTACCAAAATAATGCTGTTGGGAATGAACTGAGAAATACTTCAATTTTCTGTATAACTTCATGTAGATTTTTAATGTTTTTAATTGTTTGGTGGATTCCCAGTAGAGCCATGTAAGTCTGAAATCTTTGAGGGATTTTAATCTAGAAAATGAATGTTTTAACAGATACAGAATTGTTTAAGTTACCTATTTCTTCTTAAGTAGACTCAGTTTGTACTTCCAATGAATTTATTTACTTAGACTAAATTGAATTCATTGGGAAAATGCTCATAATAGTATCTGGTTCTTCTTTCAGTAGATATTTCCCTATTTGTGATCTCAGTAAGTTTTGTTTTTCTTACTCAATTTGGTCAGTGACTTCTAAGTTTTACTGGCCTCAAAAAAATCAGCTTTTGTTTCATTGATTATCTGTTGTTTGTTTCACTGCATTTTGCTATTTATATTCCTTCTTTAAACTTTTTTTGGGTTTCATCTTATCTGATTTTTCTAGTTTTTTAAGATGAATACTAAAATCACTGATAAGTGATCTATTTCCTACTAATAACAGCATCCCATAATTCTGAAATTATTTTGAAATAATTCTGTATTTTCATTTTCAACTAGTTCAAAAAAACTTTTTTGATGACTTCTTTGACACATAAAAGGAAGCTAACCATTCAGAACACTTTACACATTGCTACTTTCTAGTTAAATTCATTGTGATCAGATAACATACTTGTTTCATTACCCAGATGTTCCAGGTTAGTAAATATTCTTTACACACTTGAAAAATATGTGTATTCTGTTAATATTATAGGGACTGCTCTATAAATGTTCATTAATTCAAGATCGTTGACAGGGCTATTCAAGTCCTCTACATTCTTGGTGATTTTCTGGGTACTTAAAATTTATTGAGAAAATTATCTCAACAACTTCCAATTTGTCTCTTTGTACTTGTGGTTCCTAGCCTTTCAGTTAACGTATTTTATGGATTTGGCATTAATCCCATGTTTACAGTTATATACCCCTTGTTTTAAGTTGATTTTGTATGTGTGACTCTTGCCTGCATATGCACTATGTGCACCACACGCATGCGCAGTCCCTGCAGAGCTTTAAAGAGGGCACTGGATCCCCTGAAACTGGAATTAAATGGTTGTGAACCGCCATGTGAATGCTGGCACTTGAACCCCTAGCACTCTGCAAGCATTGAATACTCTAAACCAGCCCCTGATACATCCTTTTTATGACTTCATCCCCTCATCATTATAAAATACTTACTCTCTGGCACTATGCTTTACTATGAAATCTACTACAAGAGAATATGTTGGTGGAGTAAGAGCATAGCTTCAGTTTTAGATTTGCACGTGTTCCTAACACGGTGAGAGCAGGAGAAACTGTAAGACGCAAGTATGAGCTAAGATCTTCTCGGAGTCGCATCTACTACAATGCCATAAAAGTGATCTATGCTTATGAAATAATTAGTCTGAGAAGACTCTGCTTTCTAAAGTAATTACATGATTTAGAAATCTCCACTTGTCCTAGGTCATGCCAGCACAGAGTTTATGGCCTCAAATTTTATTATGCATTCTAGTGAAGTTACACATAATTATCATTATGCATTATTCATGAAGTTTCTCATGATGGCTGTTTTAGGTTCCTTGAACACTACCTTAGCCTTGGGATCCCTACTTTTTTCTTGCTTTCAGATTTTTTTTTCTTCTTCTACATAGTGAAATCTGAAGCCACCAAAAAATTCCTTCAACTTCACTCCAGTAAAAACATAAAGTTCCCTGCAACTACAAAAGCCCTATTTCCTCCCCTCTGCCTCTTAGAAGTGTTTCTGCTCATAAACAGTACCCTTTCTATGCAAAACTAAATATCCTATATCGGGATGTGACTCGATGCCCTACTATTCCAAAGGACAATACTCCTCCTACTATACTGGAAGCCCTTACTCCTCCATCCCCGCCCCCATCTGTTTTAGGCTGCCCAAATCTCCCCTCTAAGAACATGTTAACACCACACTGCTCTTTTAGTTCCCACGTTTTTCTCCACAAACCTCCTGAGTTACGCCCAGGTACCATCTCCACTTCATCAGCTCTTTATTCCTCTACTTGTGATCCACAGCTTTTGCATCAGCATTTTTATAAAACTACTGTTCACCTATCTCCTGCCTCACTGTGGCTAACGATCATCTTTCATTTCTTTTCTACTTGACTTTTAAGGGACCCAGTACTCTCCAAAGGTATCTTTAACAGCATGAAATTCTAGGACCGTTAAGATGTTGATTTGGGTTTGAGGATCCACTTTTTGATCCAAAACCACATACTCTATACAAGGGGCTTCAGGAACCACGGAGGTAAGGAGGCGGGCGGGGAACCCCACGACTTCTCACCTTCAGTGGACAGCTCTGGGTGGCTGTCATCACACAGGATTCTGGGTCCGGCACCACAAGTCGACTTTTCTACCCACGTTGTGAAGCTTCTTTCCTTTTAAAGTTACGTTTCTCAGTCTTAATGCTAGCAACTAGTTAATCCTCCCTCAACCCCGTGTGGGCCAAAACATAAAAACGGGTGTCTGTGCTTGTCTGCTAGATACCCTCTTCTCCTAAACCGGGAATTAAAGGAGCCTAGGGTGTGGGCTCCAGGCCTCGCTTTACCTTGAGGCGTCAGGCGCGAGCGGCGGGCTCTGGGACGGTCCGCAGGGCGCGCCCAACGTCCCGTGACCCTCCGGCCACCGAGGCCGGACCCGGGTCAGCGGAAGCAACCTGACGAGGTTAGGGTCAGGCGGCGACTTCCGCGCTTCCTAGGAGCTTGCAGTGCTTAGGGCCGCAGCTTCAGCGCCTGCGCATCCTGCTGTCTCTGCGGAAACACGCGCTTTTCCGCATGCTGCGTCGGGGCGGGACCGCGGCGTCGCGCTTTTACGTCACGGCGCGGGCGGAAGATGGCTGGGTTGTTCGCTCGCAGCAGCTGACCCGGCAGTACGGAGCTGGAGCCTGGCTCCCGCTGCCGCGGAGCGGCCGTCGCCATGTCGTTGCTGCAGTCTGCGCTGGACTTCCTTGCGGGGCCTGGTTCTCTTGGCGGAGCTGCCGGCCGTGACCATAGTGACTTCGTGGGGCAGACGGTGGAGCTGGGCGAGCTGCGTTTGCGGGTGCGGCGGGTCCTGGCCGAGGGTGAGGCGTAAGGCGTCGCCAGGCCGCAGCAGACAGGAGCAGCCTGGCAGGGTCGCTGCTGGGGTGTGGCTCAAGTCAGGGGCGCGAGGGTCACCGCTTAAGGCAGGGGCAGTAAGGAGGATCGTGTCAATTGTATGAGTCAAGTCTGGGCCCGAGAGCGTCACTGCTGAGGTGTGGGTCGTATCAGGGCCGCGGGGAGTCATCTCTCTGGGCCGGGTCAACAGGAATAGTCACCGCTGGGATGTGGATCAGGTCATCGCTGCGGAGGGATACTGCTGGGGTGTGCGTCAGGTCGGAGTAGGGCCTGGCCAGAAAGGGTAAGCACAGGGGGGCTGTGGGTTAAGGCCTCTGGAGGTGATTGCTGTGAATAGGTTGCTTCTGGGTTGAACACTTCCTGGTAGGTAGGTAGTACAAAGGTCATGCTAGCAGGTGGTTGTCCAGTAAAGGAGGCCTGGGACTGGAAGGACCATCTCTGTTCTGAGGCCAAAACAAGGATTTGTCTTGTTCGTATAGAGTACATCTAAAAGATTGAAATGTGGAGTCAGGAGGTAAGTAGTCACTCTGAGGTTATAAGCTGTTTTATTTTGTATCATATCCGGGGTTGCTCTTGCACCCGGGGGACTGTCTTGAGATGGCAGTGCTGTGTTGCTGAGTTCTGGGGAGCTCTGCAGTCTGTAGCAGTCCTCCCTTGCATGGTGAGGTAGAGGATAGCCTTAGTGTTTGCCTCATGTCTTTAATCACTCCGTATGTGAACTCTCATAAGTTACAGGAAGCAGAACCAGTCGATGTAACCTTTAAGAACCTGCTTGATAGGCAATTACTAGCCATATGTCTTGAAGTCAGTCTAGTTTGTAGCTTCCTCATACAGGATATGTAATCATCATGTGTGGAGTCCTGTTCTCCTGTGACCTCTCCCTTTTTTTTTTTTTTTAGATTATTTATTTATTTATTTATTTTGTTTATATGATGGTGTTTTGTCTGCCTGTGTATCTGGGTATCGTCTGTATGTACTGCCTGCTGAGACCACAAGAGGACATTGGATCCCCTGGAACTGGAGTTAGAGATAGTTGTTAACCCCTCTGCGGGTGCTGGGATGCCAATGCTGCCCCTTTCCTCTGCAAGAGCAACAGATGCTCCTCTGAGTCATTTCCTCAGCAACTGCCCTTTTTTTTGCCCATCAGTATCTAGATGGTCGAAAAGTGTGCCAGGTCTCACTAGCTGTGAAGTTTACCTGCTGAACAGTAATGTTCTGGAAAATTGGTTCAGGGAGAAGAGTGGCTTGACCCAGGTCTGAAGTAGCTCTCAGGATTATCTTGTTGGGCATGTCCACGTCATTTGTGTTTAGTGGGAGCAGGAAACTTGTTCAACATTCTTTACTATAGAAAGGCAAAGGTGATGTTTCGGTAGTCATTTTGTCATACATATTCTCCACTGTGGTTATAAATAGATCTGGGTGTGATTTTGGTAAGAAGACTCTGGTGCTTTTTTCTTCATAAATGGGTTTAGTACCACCACTGACAGGCTGATATATGATGTTCTCTTTCATCTATTGGAATAACAAAGATGATGCCAGATTGGTTTGTTCATTCTGAAGATACCAGGCAGTTGCCTTCATTTTTTCAAGAAATTCAACCCTGAACTGGTGGCACAGGCCTATAAATCTGAACTTATTGGGAGTTTGGGGCACAAAAAATTCACCTTCAGGGTCTGCCTGGACTTCAGATAGAATTCAAAGCCAATCTGGGCAGGTTAGTAAGATGCTGTCTCAAAAAGTGAAAATGGCTGGGAATATAGTTCAGTGATATAGCACTTGCTTAACATGTATGAGGCCCTGAGTTCAATCCACAAACCAAGTTGGAAAGAGAGAAAGAGAAGACACAGACTTGGTCTCCTTTCTTATAGAATGTAAAATAAGACATATATTCAGATACTGGAAGAAAAAGGCAGCTTGGTGTGGGGCAGTTCAGTAAATGATATGAATTCCAGGGTAGCTAAGAAGGGGTGAGTAGAGGATAGCTGTATACTGTACCCATCTGGCCAGAGAGCAAGCAGCCATCTTTGGTAGGACGTGGTCCTGATTGACAGGAGAGGAGATTTGTGCAAAGCAGGAAGCTTACCTAAGCCACACAGGACCCAGGATGAAAAACCAGGAAGTGTGGGCAGCCACTGTCTCTGTGCCCTCAGCTCTCTGGCCCAGCCAGGAATAAAAATAACCAGTGCAGTTGTAAGCCATGGTGATCTTCCTTTTACACTTAATGTGGTTGTTTAAGTTTTTGTTTTTTTCTAATTGAGACAGTAAGAAACGTGTAGTAGTTTATATAGATTATTTAAATGAGTTTCCTGAACAGCAACCATAGACCATGAGCCTGAAGTTGTTTTACAAGAATATGAGGCTCTTAACAACTTAAGAATTTTTCAGGTTCTAAAAGATGACCTTATATCATGGGATTTTCCCAGAGGGGCTGCAAAAAATGCTCTAGTCAAATACATTGCTGTGTCTCTAATTAAATGAATAAATATTCTCATTGTAGGCAAATTGCTTCTGTCAATTTATATCAGATTTTGTCACAGAGGAATTTATATTACACCAAGCTTTATTGTCATACAGTTTGTATAGTTTTTACTAATTTGATACTGGAGTGTAAAATATGTTGCTAGGCAGAACTATGAAAGCAGATAGCTTTTAAGAGGGCATGCAGTCTTTAGGAATTAGAATTGAGAAGGATAATGACCAACCATGTTGGAACCAAACCTGGGTCCTCTGCAAGACAAGCGTGCTTTTAAGTGCTGAGCTGTTTCTCCAGCCCCTGAGTTTTGTATCTTGTTTTTGTATCCTCTAGCTTTTCTAAATTAGTTATAGTTTGTTTGTTTCACCCTTCTCTTTCTTGGTGGGGCCATGTCATGGCTAGCATGTGGTCAGAGAATGGCTTGCAGCAGTTACTTCTCTCCTTCGATAATGCACATTCTAGGTATTGAACTCAAGTTGTCAGGCTTAATGGCAAGCTCCTATATCTACTGAGCCATTTTGCAAATCTGGCTTTTTTTCTTCTATTTTCTTATCTTCCCTTTCCCTCTATTCTCTTTTTTCTTTTTCCCTTCTCTCGTCCCTCTCTTTTTCTCACTTTTTTTTTTTTTGAAATTTCACCATATTTACTACATGAAAGATCATAATAATAAGCACATGATAAAAACACATTTACTTCTCTTGTGATTTGGGTGACTTTGCCTTTTCTTTTCCTTGTCTGATTGCATTGGCAAAAGGCCCTTGTATAATATTCAGTACCAGTAATGTGGATATACAGCTTGGCCTTCTTCCTGATCTCATTTTACTGCTAATACTGCTGCTTTTGGTCTTTTATGGACTCTTTATAAGGTTGAGGGAGTTTCTTGCTAGTCCGGATTTGCTGGCAGTTTTAAATTTTATGATGGGACTGTTTATTTAAAGGAAGCATTGGGAAGGCTGAGGTAAAGAATGTAAATTCAGAGCCAACATAGCAGCCCTGTTTTAAAAAGGCAAAACATCCCAAACTTACTAAGAGTTCTTTGATCAATTTTTATGAATGATATTACACTATTTTTTTTTCTCTTTGGATGTCAGGGCAGCACAATCTACTTTTTTTTCCTTTTTTTTTTTCTATTTGCATTAGCTTTCCTTGGTGTTTGATAACCCTAATAGAATTCATCAGTTTTACTTACTTTTCAGGATACTTGCTTTTTATTTTTCAGATTTCCTGTTTCTTGATGTGACTTATACTTCCCCTCCGTATGTCTGAGCAGAAGGGGTAAAGGGCTTTGACATAGAAATTGAGGTGCACTTTTTTGTAGAAAGCAGTACTATCCATGGCCAAAATTTGGTTTGTATTTTACTTAGCAAAGGTATTTCTAAGTCATAGCACTGACTGACTTTTTTTTTTTTTTTCAGGAGGGTTTGCATTTGTTTATGAAGCTCAAGATCTGGGAAGTGGCAGAGAGTATGCATTAAAGGTAATAATTAATGAATCATTTTAGGGGGATATTAGTTTATTGTAAAGATACTTTGAACTATTTTCAAGGATGCATCTCTATTATTCTATGCATTAGTCAGTTTGAGTCTCCTCCATGTTCTCAGGGCTTACTTTATGTTCACAACTCCAGCTTGAGGTTCAGGACTCTCTTGGGAGCTTCCTGTCCTACTGGGGAGCTGGTCAGCTTTGGACTGAGGAGTGGAATGACCCTCTGTGGATTTCATCCATTTTGCTCCAAATTTCAAATTTCAAAATGAGAGACCAGGAATTTGACGAGTTCAGAAGCCACCTACCAAATTTACTTTTAAAATGTCTGTAAATAAGATTAAAGTAATGTGTTGGGGGGGGATCTCTAGACCTTGATGCCTAGGTAGACTGCTCGGATTTTTATCCTGAGACATAGCAGTAGGTCCAGCCCTGCCTAATGGGCAAGCAAGTGGCTCCTCTCTTGGCAAGGGTGAGGCGTAGCCAGTGGACCTTTATAGCAGGATTTGTTTTGTCAGTCCTCATATGTTTGCCCGGTGTATACTCTATCTCCTGGATTGTCTTGTTTTACTCTGATCTACTTTTACTTTTTCTTGGGTCTTTGGAGTATAAAGATCATTCAGTGTTTCTAAGCTTCTGTCAGATCAGATGTTCAAATACAGGTAAATGGTGTACTGTGTAATGCTTGCTGAGACTACGTGTCCCTCAGACATAGT